GTTATGGAGGCATTACTTATATGGAGCGAGGTTTGAGGTAATCAGTGACCATAAAAGTTTGAAGTATCTATTTGATAAAAAGGAGCTGAATATGCGGCAGAGGAGATGGATGGAATTCCTTAAGGACTACGACTTTACATTGTCTTACCACCCTGGCAAGGAGAATGTGGTAGCCGATGCTTTGAGCCAAAAATCATTGCATGTGACAACAATGATGGTGAAAGAAATATAGTTGATTGAGGAATTTTGGGACATGAACTTGGCCATAGAGGTGAGACTGGGGAGTTTATATCTCGGGGCAACAATAATCCATAATGACTTCTTGATGTATGTTCGAGATGCCCAACAGGGAGATGTCTTCCTCCAAGACATGATGAGGTAGAAGGTCGAGGGAAAGGAGATGGAGTTCCATTGTGATGAGAACAGGGTGATTAAGTTCCGGAACCGAGTGTGAATTCCTCAAGTGGATGAGCTGAGACAGATGGTGCTTGAGGAAGCGCATAAGAGCAGGATGAGTTTTCACCTCGGTGCGACTAAAATGTATCAGAATCTCCGAAAGAGTTTTTGGTGAAATGGTATGAAGAGGGACGTGGCTGAATATGTGGCTAGATGCTTAACTTGCCAGAAGGCGAAGGTAGAATACCAACGTCCACTTGGGTTGTTACAGCCGTTAGAGATCCCTGAGTGGAAATGGGATAGTATCTCCATGGATTTTGTTTCTAGGTTGCCTAAGACCAGGAACAATCATGATACCATCTTGGTGATAGTGGATCAGTTGACCAAGGCTGCACACTTTCTCCTGATCAACATGAAGTATAAATTGGAGCGACTTACGGAGTTGTATGTGCGGGAAATAGTCAGGATGCATGGAGTGCAGACTAGTGTGGTGTCAGATAGAGACCCGAGGTTTACTTCGAGATTTTGGGAAAGCCTGCAACGGGCGTTGGGGACTAAGTTGAGACTGAGTTTAGCTTATCACCCACAGACTGACGGTCAGACTGACGGTCAGACTGACGGTCAGACTGAGCGGACCATCCAATCCCTGGAGGACTTGTTGAGGGCTTGTGTGCTCGAACAACAGGGAACTTGGAAAGAGTGCTTGCCACTAGTAGAATTCATATACAACAACAGTTATCATGGTAGTATTGGAATGACACCGTTTGAGGCCTTGTATGGGCAGAGGTGCAGAACTCTGTTATGTTGGTATGAAATCGGAGAGGCGACTTTGTGCGCGCCGGATATGATCCAAAGGCAAAATGATCAAATCAAAATGATCAGAGATAAAATAAAGGCTGCACAAGATGGGCAAAAGAGCTATTATGATAAAAGGCAGAAGCCGTTGGAGTTTCAAGTGGGTGACCACGTATTTATGAAGGTCTCACCTGTAACCGGAGTGGAGAGAGCTCTAAAATCTCAGAAGCTGTCTCCTAAGTTCATTGGACCATTCAAAGTGTTGAGTAGAATTGGTCCTGCTGCATACCGAATTGTGTTGCCTCCGAACCTCTCGAATCTACATCTGGTATTCCATGTGTCGCTGCTTAGGCAATATGTGCCAGATCCCTCCCATGTGATTGATCTTGACCCGATTCAAGTAAGAGAAGACTTGTCGTATGATGTGTACTTGGTGAGGATTGCGAATCACCATGTTAAACAACTGAGAGGGTAAAGAGATATCATTGGTGAAGGTAATTTGGAGCTCAAGTGATGAGGGAGATGGCACATGGGAAACGGAGAGTATAATGAAGGAGTTGTACCCGGGGTTGTTTTTGTAGTTCATGAGTGTTTGGTTGAATTTCGGAGACGAAATTCCTTAAAGGAGGGGAGAGTTGTAACACCCCTAATTTTGTAATATTAATTATTATTAATTATATAAATCTAAATATATATATATATATGTGTGTGTGTATTGAATTACTTGATAATGATGTTTATGTGTATTAAGTATATGGATGTGTGTATTGTGTGTATGCATGACTGGATAAGGCTGAAATAGGTTGAATGCCTAAGTGTAGGGTGTGATTTTGGGCTGTTCTCGCTATAGCGAGAGGGCCCTGGGAGGAAGGACCAGACTTGTCACCTTTTCGCTGTAGCGAGAGAACAACAGTTTGAGGTGCATTTCTGAGTGCAGTCTCGCTGTAGCGAGATTCTGCAAAAACTAGAGTGCAATTTTGTTTGAGATTTTCGTTGTGGCGACAGAGGGCGTCACTACAGTGAGAGGTATTTCGCTGCAGCGAGAATATCTCACTGTAGCGAGAGTGTCGCGACCAGAAAAGGATTTAAAGGGGTTTAGGGTTTGAGAAGTTATTTCTCAAAAATTCCTTCGAATTCCTCGACCCGGAACCCTTTCTCACTGATTAATTGCCTCCAAAGCTGTTTGTGAGCGAGATTGGAGCTTGAATTCGTGTAGGGAATGCTTGGAGGTGAGTTTTTATAGTTAGGGTTCCATTTTCTCCTTTCGTTTCTCTGTTTTGGGTGAGTTCTGGGGTTCTCATGGAATTAACCCGTGTATTTAGGCCGAGATCTATACGGGGAACACCTTTGTGGTTAGAATCAAGCGTGGATCTTCAATCCAAGGTAAGGGGGGATTGTACCTATCTCAATATATTATGATTCTTGTTTATTTTGTTGAGTTGTGCAATGTGGCTGAGATAGAAGATAGGGATGGTGTGTGTGATGAAATTGATGTGTGTTGGAATAGTTAGGCCCCATGGGATGATTGTGTATGATGGAATGCCAATGATTGGTGAATAAATGATATAGTGAGTAAACGTAGACTATGTGCCATATATTGTGGATGAAATGAGGGCCATGTGCCGTGACATGTGCATTATATGCTAAACGTTGTGTGAAATAGAATGAGGGATTGTATGCCGAGCATTGCGAATGAGTATGGGCACTTGTTCCAAATATATATATGTGATGGACGTTGTGGAAATATGGGTTCGAGGGCCGTGTAATGTGAATGGATGTAGGCCACGTGTCGTATGTTATAGATAATGATAGACTATGTGTTGTTTTATAAACGAATGTGGGCCTCTTGCCGTGTATTAAGAAATGAGTGCGAATGGGCCAGGTAGCCGCCGTTGTGCACGATAGTGCGAATGGGTCGAGTAGCTGCCGGTGTGCACTATAGTGCGAATGGGGCGAGTAGTCACCGATGTACAATACTGTGAATTATGAATATGAACTACTGTTGGTGCTACAAGTGCATCGATGTTTAATATGAAATGAACTATGCTGAAAAGTTATTTCTGAGTATTGTGTATCTGCTGAACGTATTTATATGTCTTGAAGGTGAGATTCTATGTTTGATTGTATTTTGATAATGTAGAGTGCTCACCCTTACATTCATCTTTCAGGTAATCAAGACGATCAACACCAGACACAGTAAAGGGACGGATGAACTGCTATAGGGCTTAGGATAATATTTTGAAATTTGTTGTATTTGAACTAGCCCTATGGCAGTTGCTTGATATGATAATTATAATCCTTCCTCGTTTTTAAAATATTTTGTGAAAATTTATTATTTTAATTTTGCGAAATTGTTATTTATTTAAATTAAAATTTAAGGTGTTACAGAGTTAACGATACGGAATAAATCCTAACTTCTTAATAATTTTGAGGGACTAAATCTTAATAAAAAAATTTATAAGAACTTATTACAAAATGTCTAATATTTATAGGGACAAAAATATAATTAAGTTTATTTTTAAATATACATGTTAGTCTTTTAACTTTGTTAGATACTTTAATTCTTCTAATAACACTTTTTGTCATAAAAGTTAACAGCTTCTCATCATCCTCTTCTTCCTTTACTACTCAAATTGCATTTCAACATCATTATTTGGTAGCAACCTTTTTACTAGAATCTTAATAGTTTCTATAGAAACTAATCTCTTTGTCAGCTTCATTTGTGCACTGTCCCAGTGATTCATTGTCCGGAGATAACAGTAATAGTAGTGATAAAAATTGATCAAATTAATTTCTAAAAGTGAAATCACGTTATTTTAAAAATTCTTGTATCATTTAACAATAAAAATTAATACTATTATAATAAAAATTACGAGTTCATTTAAAAATCTTAAAAACAATTTACCTTATGCTTATAAGCATAGAAATCTTGAGAGTTTACCGGTAAGTTTATCATCGATTTATGGTAGATGACACTTCGCTAAGTTAGCATTTTAACAGACTCATTGTTGATTTTTTATTTTTGATTGCAGCGTATGCATAAATTAAATATAAAATGACAAACTTGAATATAACATAATGGCATATTTAAATAGATTAACTCAACTAACATGCTTTCATAATATAGTGTCGTGTCGCGTTTGCACATTGATGGCCGCGTCTAACTTCTGTTAAGAATTGGACAACGAACAGGGAAATCATTTTTTTCAATTAAAAAATTGGGAATTTGATTGCTTTAACATATCATTTGGGGAATAAAAATCACATATTTCCCATAATATAGGAATCAAAATAGCTGTATTCACCTAAAGAATTTGTTTCAAAGGGAATGGCACGTTTTTATTAGTGTTTAAATCAACAAGAATCTGCTTTAATTTAATATTATTAGTTATAATTTTTGCGTTATATCTCGTTACAATTTTTTATAAAGTGATTAAAAATTCATATGAATTCAGCAGTTAATTTATTTAAGTATCCTTTTAAATTGTTTGAACACATGCTACTTTTGCTTTCTTTTCCCCCTTTAGTACTTTTGCTTACCTTTAGGAGAATATTTTGACACAAAACAACGTAAATCACGATGTAATTTTTGATTTATTTGTCCCAACATATTTGTTGCCAAGACAACTCCGGATTCTACATCACCAGAATTCCATGATTCATTCTTTTTACTATCGGATGGCAAATCCCTGAAACTCAACTTGATCAGAGTTGGGCATCTTTCTTCTACAACATTTTTATATGGCATTAATTATTGAAAGGAAGCTTTTGTATGAAACCATGTGAAGGGAAATGTATATATTAATTATCTATGGTCTAGGTGAGGAACGAAGCTTGTAGGTAGCATAAACTCCTAGTGCCACCACAAGAACTGCTGCACCCATGTATATTATCCTTTGTTTATCTTCTTCGTTGAACCTTCTTGCAAGATCAGTGACAACTTGAGAAGCAGAAGCAGCCACATCTTTGATTCTTGTCATTGTTGTTGTTGATTCAGGCTGAGGCATGCCCTTTTCTTCAGCATCATCACTTCCAACTTCACCATTTCTTCCCTTTCCCTTCTCTTCCTTTATATCCTTTGTGGAAAAGCTATCAACTCTATCAGATCCTTTTCTTTCTTCCTTGCTTTTCTTTTCAGTGTCTTCTTCTTCTTCAGGTGACTTTCCTGATTCTGAAGAACGGTCTTCAGTTTCTTCCTCTCCAACAACCCTTTGCTTTTTTTCCTCATTTTCACAAGTTTCCTCAGTTTGAAGCTTGGAATCTGTCTGTGAAGTTCCTACTTTACCCTTTTCAGGCACAGACTCTTGTGTGGCTTCTGGAGGGGTTGAAGTCTCATGGTCAGCTTGTTCTTCACTTTCTTCTCTTGGAGGTGAAGATTTACTTTCAACTTTTGTCTCAGGAGCTTCATGTGAAATTCCATCTTCACCCTTTTGAGGCACAGGCTCTTGTGGTGAGGTTGGTGAAGTGTCATGATGGTCATCATCTGAAGATGCAGGTTGAGAAGTGTCTTCTTTTTCATTCTTTGTTTCTGTTGATTGTTGTGGTTCTTGTTTGGAGACTTTCTCTTGATCAATTGGCATTGTAATGGTGACAAGTTTTCCATCAAACTTTCCCTTTATTCCTCTGATACTACAATAGTTTGGAACTTCATACTCTACATTGAAACGGCTCTTTCTGTTGTTTCCAAGTGGTCGTTCACCAAAAACTCTCACCTTTCTAAAATCGTACTCAACTTTAGCACCAATATGCATCCTTTCGAAACCTGTACATCATGGGAAAGAAACAACATGCACTTGGTTATGAAATTTGCTTCAATAAAAACAATTATTACTTTTTCTAATTTACTTTTCTATTAATTTTGAAATTTATTAATTATCACTATACATTTTTTTTTTCTTTTTCTGTTTTTCATTGTGTGTATACCAGAAATGCTGATAGAGTTTTCTGATTGAATGAATGAATGCATATCAGAAATGATTTTCCTTGTTCATACTTCAGAGGAGGTAGAGATGAAGCGAAATACCAAAAGACATTCACTTTTCTCAAAAAGTATTAAATACATGAAAAATATTATTTTCAGCCTTTAGAATCGAAGTTAAGCAATTAAAATGATAAAGTTAAATTAACAAAAACATAAACACATATATCCTGTTAGACTTCTCTATCTCCACATTTTAATAAGTAGCAAAACTATATGGCTGACTTTATAATAAAATTATTTTAACATTTTTTTTTTTGTAATTACACAATCTAGTTTTAACTATCATGTATGATAATGAAATATAGTAATACCAGTAATTTTTTCGTGCATTGTCTGTGTATCATTAAATTAAGTTATTTTAAAAATAAATAATAAAAAATATATCATACAACGATTTCTTTTGAAGTTAAAAAAAAAGCCACAGTCATAATATATTAAAAAATTACCTTAACAAGTTAAAAACTAAATTTAATATGTGGAATATAAATAAATATGCAATAATCCTTGTAATGGAAACTCGAAAATTAAGCAGTGCAGAATGTAAAAAGAAAATAAAATAATTACAAGTGGAAAACTTTTACTAAAAAGTATAACAATACATTCTTTTCATAATTTTAAATATTTTATTTATTTATTTATTTATTTATTAATTCTTTAACATTCCTAGAAGAAAAACAAAAGCATGACGTTGATAAGGTGGTAAATAAATCAAACAAACCATCAGGAATGTGAACAAGCAGAAGGTGAGAATCAGAAGTTTCCTTTGTTTCAAATTCGGCTTGCAAATCTTGGTAGGTAGGTTGAACACCATCTTGCATGCTAGACATTTTCCCACTGTTGCTCTTTGATTTTATTTCTTTTTTATGTTTAGAAATTAACTCTTGCAATTATTGCTGTAATGGATCTTCAACTCCATTCGGTGGTTCCTCTATTTATAGTGAACTGTTCATATGTTGAGTTTTCTTAAAAATGAAACCATTCCTTTTTGGCTGCTTTGATTTTCCTATATCATCAAACTTCATCATTTTCCCTAACTCATATGTGAGGTATAACTTCTTTAATAAATAAAGGGAAAGTTCTTTGTTTGGCTCATACACTTCAAATTCCACAAAAGAGGAAGCAAACGTGATTTGTGTTATTTTTATTATTATATTATTCGTCATCTCTTTTTTTTCATTCGAGCATAACTAATTAACTAGTCAATTCATGATTAATCAAACCTCTAATCCAACTTAGATTTATTTTTTCTAAAATGAAAAGATGTGTTAAGTAAAAAACATATTTGTTATTAAATTAAAGCTAATTATTTTTATAAAATACTAGTTTTAAATCAATAAATATAAATTTTTAACTTTTTTTTAAGTTTTCACCTTTTAACTTTATATATCTTCTCACTTTAGAATAATTGAATTAAATTTTGATAATGTTTATAGATCCCAACAAGTACAATGCATCAAAACTAAAGGTGTTTGCATCCTAGATTATATCAACTTTGGAAAAAAAAAACTGAATCAAAGATTGAATTAGTTTTATCTTTTGATGGGATCAAATAGACAAAATAATTTTTTAAGGAATTAAACGCAAAAAAGTAAAAAAAAATGAAAAACATAAAAGAAAATGAATTTGAATAAATATTGTAAGTAAAATGACACCATTTCATTAAATAAAAAAATTATATATAATATTACAAACTACTTTTAGACTTTAATTTTAATATATAATTATTGTAAACAAAGTTTATAATATCAATTAATAAAAAATTATCATAAATATAATTTTCAAAATTGTTATTATATATGAAAGTTAATAATTTTTAATGACTTAACAATTTATGATTGAACACAAAGTAGTCTATTTTAATTAAATTGTTATTTTTAAGATAATCAATACTATTTCGTCAATATTCATAGGTCATACTTTTATTTTCATTTTTAATTATAAAAATATCACATTATTTTCATTTTATTATTTATTTTTATAAATATGTATAAAGACCTGTAAAAATAATTTTTTTACATTCACAAATCTTACAAAAACGTTTAAAAGTAAAATATAAAATTAGAATAATTTAATTTTTAATTAAAATGAATTTTATTTTCAAGTTAAACTACTACTTTCTATTTCTTATAATAAGTTTTTTAGTTGTTTTTAGTTTGCTTTGTTGATTACTTGATTATTTGAGGTTTCATTTTTCTGTTCAATAACAAGAATTTTTGGTTAGTAGGTTTACGTGGCAGAACACTGAACACGTGGAGACGATGAAGTCAAAGGAATCTCATCTCAAAACTCGGAATAAGATTATTCGTTAGTATCTGTTGTTGATAGTTGAAACTATCAAAACTGATAAACTCATTAGACAATGTTGTCATCGTTTTCCTCAAAAACCGACCAGCAAAACGCACGTTCAATCTCCACTTTCGTATTCACACACAAATCAACACAAGTATGAGATCTTGTCCCATTGTTGGGGTGGTGGCATGGCATAGAGCACTGAGAAAAGCATTGCATTCTTTTTCTTCTTTACCGTCTTGTGCTCTGCTTGGCCCCAACCTCCCTGATGTTTGGGAATCCAGAGAGAACGCTTTCCCTCATACCCATTTGCCAGAAAGTCTCCAATGTAAGTTCTATGATGTAAACTTGAAGTTCTATCCTCTGAAGCCTCTACCTTGTCACTTTATGTTAATGGGTTTTGTTTCTTTTGGGTTACTTGTGTTGCTTTAGGGGCTAATGGCCACAATGCTGTAATTCTTGAGGGTAAATCAATTGCTAAAGAGATAAAACTTAAAGTAGCTGATGAGATAAGAAGGATGAAGAGTTGCATTGGGAAGTTTCCTAGATTGGCTGTGGTTTTGGTGGGTGATAGGAGGGACTCTCGCACTTTCATCCACATTAAGTTGAAAGCCTGTGATCAAGTTGGCATTGAAACAGTGGTTGCCCAGTTGCCAGAGAAGTGTGCTGAAACTGAACTGCTTCATGTTGTTTCTAGTTTCAATGATGACCCGGATGTACATGGCATTCTTGTGCAACTTCCTCTGCCTCAAGTAATTTGTTCACCCTTTTCACTACTTAATGCTTATTATTATTGACTGTGCTTATCCACCCCAACCTTTCAATTGATCTAAAATTAGAGTTCATTGAGTAAGATAAATTTGTTCTGGTATATTCATTTTCAGTGGAGCTACAGGAAGATCAGTCTCAAAGTTTTAATCATAAGATTGTTAGTTGGCATTACTTGTTTATTAAAGTGACATTATGGATCGTTTGTTCTATGTAGCCGATCCACGTAGTTAGAAAAGGCATGCTCGTTGTTATTGTGGGCACTATTTGGTGATTTGTTTCATAACTTGCTATTACAACCTTAGTTATTATAAATTATTTGATGCAGCATTTGGACGAGGAAAAAATTATCAATGTTGTGAGTCCTGAAAAGGATGTGGATGGCTTTCATCCCTTAAATATGGGAAATCTTGCAATAAGAGGAAGAAAACCCTTCTTTGTCCCTTGTGCTCCCAAGGGCTGCATTGAGTTGTTACTTAGGCATGGTGTGGAAATCAAGGGGAAAAGAGTGGTAATAATTGGAAGAAGTAAAATTGCGGGGTTACCCACTTCCTTGCTAATGCAGGTAACATAAATGTTGTTGCTGAGCAGAATGTTTCAATTTCTAAATGGCTGATTTATCATTTTTTGAGTAGAGGCACCATGCAACAGTCAGCATTTTACATGCATACACAAAGAACCCTGAACAAATAACTTCTGAAGCAGACATTGTGGTAGCAGATGTTGGAATCCCTAACGTAGTTCGTGGAAATTGGCTAAAGCGAGGAGCTGTGGTCATCGACATGGGAACTAATCAAGTTAAGGTAATGCTTCTAGATTATTTTTGGTGTCCAATAATGTCATGTGGTCATCTGAATGCATGGAGGTACAAGAAATTTATATTTTATTATTTCAAGAACTTGATATTTTTTTCAATTCATATATCAAAGATACATTCGTAGTTTAAAAGCCACAAGATAGAATTAGGAATAAACAATCCACTTATGACAACAGCTAATGTGAGAAAGATAGTATAAATTCAACATAGAAGAAAAAGAAAATACACACTGGTTCTAAAAACTTGTACCTTTGAAACCACTCAGCCATGCTATACTGATATCACTTAGACTGTCCAAAAATTGTTTCAAGTTGGATTTATATAGCTTCAATTCAAGAAGTGAATATTTCTTCACAGGGTAAAGAAGTTTGTCCAGCAATCACACTTTGTAAAGTGGTCATTCAACTTAAAGAATAAAAGAGAGATGTTAATGTAGGAAATATTGATTTGGAAGTAATAAGAGTGCTGGCATTGTTTTAACATTTTATGGGGTAGGGTGTTTCTTTGTTCTTGTTGTGGGATTGTTTGATCTGTGGATTTGTTTAGGATCCCATGTACTCTTTTCACTTTGATTCCTTTCCCGTCATGGTTAAATAGCACGTTTTCTTAGTGTGATTTGTCATGATTTTGTTGTTGGCGTTAATGAAGAAAAAGTTTTGTAGAACTCTTTTGTTGACAGTCTTCCTCAATGCTACCTAGACTGAATTAAATAGTTGATCAACAAAGCACTACTGACTATGATAGTATTTTATTTCTTCCTAAACAAAGAGACGTTATGTTAACATATAGGTAATTTTGTGGTCCAATAACTTAATAGAAAATACACTGTATGATTATTATAACATAAATGTCTGTGTGTAAGTAGCACTTAAACATGCACTAATTCTCAATAAATTGCATCTGGGTTTTGCTTTGTTTTCAACCGTGGGATTTTTGTGCAGTGGAATGAGTGACAAGTCGAATCTGGGACGACAGGGTGAAGTTTTTGCATCCAGCTGCCCATACAGAAAGCTTAAAGTATATGATTTGCAAGTATAGCATGAAAGGAATATAGTTAAATAGGTCTAAGTAGCCTGTCAAAATTATTTTGCTGAAATAAGCTTGGAATGATATTTTTTCAGTGTAATTTAAGAAAACACGTTAGTTTTATAGACCTAATAAACATGCACAAGTTATGAATATGTTGCCTCAATATAATAAGTGTGATAGAGTGATATTATTCTAACCATTTGTTGCTTCATTAGCATACAAATCTATATTTCTTCACTTGGTTGAATAATTGAATGTTTAACTGAGCATAACCAAGACATGCATTGAAAATCTTGTCAAATTAATTCTTAATAATCACAATGTATCAATGTGTCATTGATGTTAACTCCCTTACAATCTCTGTAGTTGTATATTCATATGTACTAGACATGGGGCAGGGCTAGTTCGTGATTTATTAATATTAATATCTTGATGTAGTTGAATATAAATTACAGGATCCCAGTGGCAAAGGCTTCCGTGTGACAGGAGATGTTTGCTTTGAAGAGGCAGTAAAGGTAGTATCTGCCATCACTCCTGTTCCTGGAGGTGTAGGACCAGTTACAATATCAATGCTGCTCTCCAACACCCTCCATTCTGCCAAACGTGGCTTTGGAATGGTTTGAATAAATTGTTTTCTTCTCCATCTTAAAGTTCTATGTTGGATCTATCATCTGTTTGTATGCATGTTCCTGTTCATCTAAATAGGATATTGTTGAGGCCAACATGCTATGATATTTATCACATTGCATTGCAAGGATCTAGTGGACCACATAGGGTTTAGAAATTAGCTCTTTTTGCCTTCGTTGCTTTGCTAGTTCAAACTCACCTCTTGAAACCCAAAAAAATTGGGGCTACAATTTTGACTGTTTTGCTCATTATGTCGAAGCTGATATAGACTTTCTGTATATGATTGGAGCAGCTATTTGAAATGCACTCCTTCTTAACATCACTTCTATGCATAGTTAATTTGCTTTAAAGAGATTGAGAGAGGAGGAATCACTGGTTGCACACACATTGATATGGCTTAAGAACTTGACATATATTTAATTTTTAGCTTAAATAAGAAAATAGTCTCTAAAAAATTTCTTTTTTGAAAATATTCCTTATAATTTTTTTTTGTTAGAGCTAGTTCTATAATTTTTTTTAAATAGTCTTCATCGTTGAGTAATGATAAAAAAAATGATATTCTACATCATACTTGTCACGTGATAATACCAGCTTTACACTTAAATAAGTAATTAGTTTATATAAAAACTATATATATTTTTTAGAATTAGTTCTTATTAATTTTTTTTTAATCTTGTAAAATTTTATAGGGACTAATTTCAAAAGAGTATATATTTTTAATGACTATCTACTTATTTAAATCGATTATTTTTCATTCAACACTAAAATATTTTACTATTTCCTAATGCCTATACTTTTATTGTTATGAGAAAAAAGTATATTATTATTGTTCAAGATAAAACTAAGTATGATTAGAGTAAATCTTCTTATGGTAAGAGTTTATATCTTTATTGTTCAAGTAAAACTAAGTATGATTAGAGTAGAGTAAGTTTTTCAACTTTACATACGACAGAGAATCTTTACATTATCTCACTAGATGAAAAATAAAAATAAAAGTTCAAGGAAGCACAGTAAAGTAAGTCTTTTTATCTCACATCAAATAACACTGACTCGTCGAGTAGTTTTAAGAGAAGATAAAATGCAAGATGTTAGATAAAGTAATAGTGTTGATTCAAGAGATAATAGTAAGATTTATTCTTAAAAAATTAAAATTATACATGATTACAACTAAAATAAAATTTTAATAAGGACTAGTTCTAAAAAGATATATTTTTTGGACTAATTACTTATTTAAACTTTGTTATGTTTAAAACTAATTATTTATTTAAACTTTATTATGTCTGATATTAATATTCAAGTGATAGGTATGATGTGTTAGTGACCGCTCTCAATTAATAGTAAAAAATATTTAAAAAATTAAAGAGTTAAATTTAACATTTTTTTATAAAAATTAATTCTAAAAGAGGGTATATTTTTATGGACTATTTATTTATTTAAACCTTAATTTTTGTACTCTAGAGGAAATAATTAAAAAAGATCTTAAGATAAATAATATATCATAAAATGAACTTTGACTGATTTTAATTTTGTAATTTATGTAATTTTTTTCCTTTAATAAGATAAAACTTAATTACTCTCACTGATACTTTTCTCTGGTACAAGAGTTATTATTAGAATTTGTAACTTTTATAATTAAAAATTATTAATTTTTATTATAATTGTTTTAAAATTATATTTATGATAATTTTTAATTAGTTAATAATATACAAATATATACTAAGAATATATTAAAATTAAATTAAAAAACTTTTATAAATAATTTAAATAACAAAATTATTGATACAAAATAAAAATTGTAGATTAGCTCGCCAATTTTCTTTTTAACATACAAATAATTAATAAGTTATGTGCCGTGTAGATTAGGATGCAGCTACGTTTGGGAATAATTGAAGTATATGTCTCTCTCTTCAATGGATGTCACAAACGTGCAACCAAGTCAGCCACCAAATATTAGAGCCCATTTTCTTCAACATGTTACTATTTCAACTACTAAACAGTAAACATTAATATTATATATGAGATTATTATTATTATTATATACACCTTTTTTATATATATGAAATAAATATTTTTTAATTCATTATTTAATCGTGTCTAATATTAATTTTAGAAGATTTTTTTATTTTCATATTATAAATTTAAGTTTTAAACAAAAATATTTTTTCAAGTGCAAAAGTTTAGTATAATTTTTTTATTCCTCGTCTCCAAGCTACTCCGTACACTTAATGTGCATGATATGCCAACCAATATTTTCTTTTAACATATTCTCGGTGTCATGTTCTAATATTAACTTTAAAAGTTTCTTTAAATTTTTTTATTATAAATTTAAATTATTACATGCATTTATTTAATTTTAGAAGTTCTATGTATGTGTGAAAAGAATTCTAAATATAGTTATATTTTGTGTTTTAACTAAAATATTGTTAAGAATATTAATTTTTGTACATATATAATTAAACAAAAGTCTGAAAATTTATAAAAGTTTTAGATAGTTTTATAAGTGACTCTATTATCACAATAAGATAAGACAAATGTGTCAGAAGTAAAACGTAGGAAAATTACAACAACTTTGTTATATCCTTGTAGCAATCCTCTTACTGCTTTAAGAAGTATCAAATCAAATTATTTGTTCACTATTGTGTTAAAAACATAAAACACATTAAATATTCTTTTCATTTAGTAGTTAAGAAGATTTGAAGGAATAAAGAGTAAAAAGTTTAGAATTATTCAAAATGTAAATGAATATTAAGAAATTTAAATGTCTTTTTTTTTAAAGCTCAATATATATATATATATGGCCTGCATGCTCAAATTAGTGTGAGACTTACTAAAATATGGCCTTTTTGATAAATTTACATGAATATAGTGTAACGCCTTGAATTTTGGCAATATTAATTATTATTATTTATATAAATCTAAATGTGTATATATATATATATATGTGTGTATGTGTGTGTTGATTTACTTGATAATGATGTTTATGTGTACTAAGAATATAGATGTGTGTATTATGTGTATGCACAACTGGATAGGGCTGAGATGGGATAAATGCCTAAGTGCAGGGTGTAATTCTGGCCCTAGGAGGAAGGATCAAAATTGTCACCTTCTCGCTGTAGCGAGAGACGTCTCGCTGCAGCAACAGAGCGACAGTTTGAAGTACATTTCTGGGTGCAGTCTCGCTGTAGCGAGATTCTGCAGAAACCATGGTGCAGTTTCGTCTGATATTTTTGCCGTAGCGTGAGGGCGTGTCGTTGCAGCGAGAATATCTTGCTGTAGCGAGAGTGTCGTGACCAGAAAAGGATTTAAGGGAAATTAGGGTTCAGGGAGGGTTATTTCTCCCTCTCCCTTCAAAATTTCTTGGATTCTCTCATTCCCAAACCCTTTTCCATCAATTAAATTGCCTCCAAAATCATTCGGGAGATTGATTGAAGGTTAAATCCATGTGGGGAACGCTTAGAGGTGAGTTTTAATGGTTAGGGTTTTGGTTTTTCATCCCCTTTCTCTGTTTTTGTGGTTTCCTTGGGTTCTCATGGAATTCTTCCATGTGTTTAGGCCGCAATCCGTGCGGGAGAGTATTTTTTGGTGGATTTAGCGTGTGGGTCTTCAATCCAAGGTAAGGGGGACTCTATTCTACTCTTTTGTGCATGAATTGTTGATATTCTGCTGAATATTGTGTTGTGACTGAGTTAGTGGGTAAGAAATTGCTGAGAAATGTAATGTGGGCCATGTGCCGTGGTATGGGAATATTATGTGTGTTGATTTGAAATTGATGAATTTGGATTATATGTAAATGTTGTGTGATAGAATGAGTATGGGCACTTGTGCCGTATATTTGAATGAATATTGTGAAAATGTGAGCCCATGGGCCGTGTAATATGAACGAGAATTGTAGGCTGCGTGCCGTGTGCTGTGAATTGAATATAGGTCGTGTGCCGTGTGTAAGCATGATCATTGCATGCGTGAATGGAATATATGTGTGAATGGGCGTATTAGCGCCATTGTGATATGTTGTGAATGGTTCAGCGATACACTAGGAGTGTAGAAGATGAGGACAGTAGGAATACCTTGGAGAGGAAAGAGTGGTGGTGACACCGACTGCGGAACGGGTGCACCACAGGCCACACACTCTCTTCCTGACTAGACCTCTGACCACTATCCTTGTTGAGTGACCCGTGACTGCCCACGTGGTATTCGTGAGGCGGGGGTAACCGGTGACCATTTATGGTATAAATCTATGATCACAGTGTCACAGTGAGTGTGGCTGGCGTGCATATGCATGGGTTTATGAATTGTACTTATGAATGTGAAATGTTGCTTGTGATTGCGTTTGTTTAATGTGTTAGAAATGTTCTGACGGTGAGACTCTACATTGATTGTGTGTTTTTGGGTAGTGTAGAGTACTCACTCGTACATTCATTTTTCAGGTAATCAAGACGATCAGCACCGGACTCAGTGAAGGAACAGATGGACTGCTATAGGACTTAGATTTTATTTTGAAATTGTTGTAATTGAACTAGTCCTGTAGCAGTTATTTGATATTAATTTGTAACCCTTCACTTTTTTCGAAATATTTTATGAAAAAATTGGTTATCCGATTTGCAAAATTGTTATTTAATTAAAATTAAATTTAAGGTGTTACAATTTGGTATCAGAGCAGTTCATCCAAACCGGACTGGGGTATTGGGCTGAAGCATCCAATATAAGTGTTGATTGTTTTGTTTGCCTGAATTATAAATGTATTATTGATTTGACGTGCTGGACTATGATTGTTAAATGTGTAGCTAGATTGAATATGTCTGGTAGAGGTAGAGGTAGAGGTAGAGGAGCTAGAGGCACCAATGACCTCATGGAACGCATGGCTCAGATTCTGGAAGCCATGGTGCACAATCAAGGCGAAGAGCCAGCTGAATAGAGGGTTATCTGCCTTCACTAGGCATAATCCTCCAAAGTTTGAGGGTAGATTCAACCCCGAAGGGGCCCAAAGGTGGGTGGCTGATGTGGAGAAGATCTTCTATGCAATGGGGTGCCGAGAAGAGAACAAGGTTGCCTATGCCACCTACTTGCTGTGTGGGGAGGCTGAGGACTGGTGAAGGTTTGCCGATCAGACCCTGCCACAGGAAGATGGCTACATCTAGTGGGAAGCATTCAAGACCATCTTCCTAGGGAACTATTTTCCCCAAGACCTAAGGAAGCAGAAAGCTAGGGAGTTCCTTGAGCTGAAGCAAGGAAATATGACTGTAGGAGAATATGCAGCTAATTCCAAGAGCTGATAAAGTACTGGCCTCATTATCAGCATGGTGATGGAGAGGAAGATTTGTGTGCTCAGTTTGAGCATGGATTGAGGCCAGACATCCGGGCTGCAGTCAGTGTGTTTCAACTGACGGACTTACCCACTCTGGTGAGCAAGAGCAGAATATTTGAAGCCAACTCAAGGGGGAAGACAGTGGACACTAGGGGAACTAGTCCAGTGAGGCAAGATAGAAGACCCCATAGGTTCTCAAGGGGATCGTATTCGGGTTCAAATAGCTCTCAGTCTCGAGGGAGTTCATCTCAGGAGAAGAGCAGTGGGAGTGGTTCAGGATCAAGTTCTTTCCGAGGACCACTTAAGTGCTTTAGGTGTGGAGGGCCACACATGGTGAAGGACTGCCCACAACCGAGGATAACTTGTAGCAACAGTGGGAAGTTGGGGCACGTTGCGAATGAGTGTTGGCCCGCCAAGAGAAGCGGTAGAGCAAGTGCATCCCAGAGGCCGGAATCAAGAGGAAGTACAGGGCAGAAGCCGAGCATTCCTGGTAGAGTCTTTGCTATGAGTGGGGTAGAGGCTTCACAGTCAAAGGAGCTGATCCAAGGTAAATGCATTATTAAGGGTCGATTGCTTGATATGCTGTTTAAGTGGGGTGCTACGCACTCTTTTATATCTGTGGACTGTATGAAGAGTCTGGGCTTGTATGTGACTGAACTGCCTTGTAATGTTGTGGTGACTACCTCTACGGGTAAGCCAATTGTGATGTCATGGGTGTGTCTGGGGTGTGTAATGATGGTACATGGTAGGGAGTTTGAGGTGGACTTGATTTGTTTACCTCTTTCTCAACTGGATGTTATTCTGAGAATGGATTAGCTTGCTGCCAACCATGTGTTGTTGGACTATAGGGAGAAGACTTTGATCTTCGGTGCGACTATGGCAGAGGTTCCAAGGCTTATGAGCCAGGGAGCGTGGGAAAACACGGTGAACGCCAAGACTTTCATGGTTATGTTCTTAATGGAAGTCGAAAGTGTGGTGGAGTTGGAGTATATTCCGATGGTGAGAGATTTCTTGGAGGTTTTCCCCAAAGATGTTTTTGAGCTACCGCCTGAGAGGGAAATAGAGTTTGCTATTGACCTCATTCCTAGGACAAGCCCAATTTTTGTGGCACCTTATAGGATGTCACCAGTGGAGTTGGCAGAGGTCAAGAAGCAAGTAGAAGACCTATTGCAGAAACGTTTGTGAGACCGAGTGTGTCACCGTGGGGAGCACCAGTGCTCTTGGTTAAGAAGAAGGATGGAAGCATGAGGATGTGTGTGGATTACCGGCAGTTGAATAAGGTGACAGTCAAGAACAAGTATCCACTTCCAAGGATCGACGATTTAATGGACCAATTAAGAGGAGCAACAATGTTCTCAAAGATTGACCTGAGGTCGGGGTACCATCAAATTCGAGTGAAGGATGCAGATGTACCTAAGACGACGTTCAGGACGCGGTATGGTCACTATGAGTATTTGGTGACCAATGTGCCTATGGTGTTCATGGACTACATGAACAAGATCTTCCACGAGTTTTTGGATAAGTTTGTGGTGGTGTTAATTGATGACATCCTAATTTATTCAAAGACTCAGGAGGAGCATGCCGAGCACTTAAGGATTGTCCTGCAAATTCTGAGGGAGAGGCAGTTGTATGCGAAATTCTCCAAGTGTGAATTCTGGTTGTCAAAAATTCAATTTCTAGGGCATGTGGTATCGAAGGAAGGAATCATGGTAGACCCTGCAAAAGTGGAAGCAGTGACTGAGTGGCCGAGGCCGACAAATGTGACAGAGGTGCGCAGTTTCCTCGGATTGGCAGGCTATTATAGGAAATTCATTGAGGAATTTTCTAAGATAGCGTTGCCCTTAACGAAGTTGACCAGCAAGGGAAAGAAGTTCAAGTGGACCAACGGGTGTGAAGCTAGTTTCTTGGAGCTGAAGATAAGGCTGACTTCAGCGTCGATGTTGGCTCTACCCAACCTGGAGCAAAAGTTTGATGTGTATTGCGATGCATCTGAACAAGAACTTGGTTGTGTCTTGATGTAAGACGGGCGAGTGGTTGCCTATGTCTCAAGACAGTTACGCCCGCATGAAGTCAACTATCCGACACACAATCTGGAGTTGGCCGTAGTGGTGTTTGCTTTTAAGGTATGGAGGTATTACCTATATGGAGCGAGGTTTGAAGTGTTCAGTGACCACAAAAGCTTGAAGTATCTATTTGATCAAAAGGAGTTGAATATGTGGCAGAGGAGATGGACAGAATTCCTTAAGGACTATGACTTCACATTGTCTTACCACCCTAGCAAGGCAAATGTGGTAGCCGATGCGTTGAGCCGGAAATCATTGCACGTGGCAGCGATGATGGTGAAAGAGATGAAGTTGATTGAGGAATTTCGGGACATGAATTTGGCCATGGAGGTGAGGTCAGGGAGTTTATATCTCGGAGCGATGACGATTCACAACGACTTTCTGGTGTACATCTAAGATGCTCAGCAAGGAGATGCCTTCTTGCAGGACATAATGAAACAGAAAGGTGAGGGAAAGGGCTTGGATTTCCACCATGATGAGAACGGGGTGATGAAATAGAAAGGTCGAGGTTTTGGGAGAGCCTGCAACAGGCGTTGGGATGATATCACCCACAGATTGACGGTTAGACTGAGCAGATCATCCAATCCCTGGAGGACTTGCTGAGAGCTTGTGTGCTCGAGCAGGGAACTTAGGAAGAGTGCCTGCCGCTGGTGGAATTCACATACAACAATAGTTACCATGCTAGCATTGGAATGACACCGTTTGAGGCCTTGTATGGAGGGAGGTGCAGAATCCCGTTGTGTTGGTATGAAACCGGAGAGGCGACTTTGTGTGCGTCGAATATGATCCAAAGGCAGAATGAGCAAATCAAAATGATCAGAGAGAAGATGAAAGCTGCCCAAAACCACCAAAAGAGTTATCATGACAAAAGGAGGAAGCGGTTAGAGTTTCAGGTGGGGGACCATGTGTTTCTGAAGGTCTCACCTGTAACTAGAGTAGGGAGAGCTCTAAAATCTCGGAAGTTGTCTCCTAAGTTTATTGGGCCATTCGAAGTATTGAGTAGAATTGGTCCTGCTGCATATCGGATCGCGTTGCCTCCAAATCTCTCAAATCTACATCCAGTATTCCATGTATCGCAGCTTAGGAAATATGTGCCGGATCCTTCCCATGTGATTGATCTTGACCCAGTTCAAGTAAGAGAAAACTTGTCGTATGATGTGTACCCGGTAAGGATTTCAGATCACTGTGTTAAACAGCTAAGGGGTAAAGAGATATCATTGGTGAAGGTAAAATGGAGCTCGAGTGATGAGGGAGATGCCACATAAGAAGCGAAGAGTAGAATGAGAGATTTGTTTCCGGGATTGTTCTTGTAACTGTATATGTTTAGTTGAATTTCGGGGACAAAATTCCTCAAAGGTGGGGAGAGTTGTGTGTATTATGTGTATGCATGACTGGATAGGGCTGAGATGGGATAAGTGCCTAAGTGCAGGGTGTAATTCTGGGTTGTCTTCGCTGCAGCGAGAGGATTCTCGATGCCTCTCGCTGCAGCGAAAGGGTCTTGGGAGGAAAGACCAAAACTATCGCCTTCTCGCTGTAGCAAGAGACGTCTCGCTGTAGCGACAGAGTGACGGTTTGTGGTGCATTTCTGGGTGCAGTCTCGCTGTAGCGAGATTCTACAGAAACCTGGGTGCAGTTTCATCTGATATTTTTGCTGCAGCGTGAAGGCGTGTCGCTGCAGCGAGAATATCTCGCTGTAGCGAAAGTGTCAAGATCAGAAAAGAATTTAAGGGGGGTTAGGGTTCGAAGAGGGTTATTTATCCTTCTCCCTTCGAAATTCCTTGGATTCTCTCATTCCCAAACCCTTTTCCACCGATTAAATTGCCTCCAAAGTCTTCGGGAGATTGATTGAAGGTTAAATTCATGTGGAGAACGCTTGGAGGTGAGTTTTAATGGTTAGGGTTTCAGTTTTTCATTCCCTTTCTCTGTTTTTGTGGTTTCCTTGGGTTCTTATGGAATTCTTCCATGTGTTTAGGCCGCAATCCGTGCAGGAGAGCATTTCTTGGTGGATTTAGCGTGTGGGTCTTCAATCTAAGGTAAGGGGAGATTTTATCCTACTCTTTTGTGCATGAATTATTAATATTCTGCTGAATATTGTGTTGTGGCTGAGTTAGTGGGTAAGAAATTGCTGAGAAATGTAATGTGGGCCATGTGCCATGATATGTGAATATTATGTGTGTTGATCTGAAATTGATGAATTTGGATTATATGTAAATGTTGTATGATAAAATGAGTATGGGAACTTGTGCCGTATATTTGAATGAATATTGTGAAAATGTGGGCCCAAGGGTCATGTAATATGAACGATAATTGTAGGTTGTGTGCTGTGAGTTGAATATAGGCCGTGTGCCTTGTGTAAGCATGATCATTGCATGCGTGAATGGAATATATGTGTGAATGGGTATATTAGCACCGTTCTGATGTGCTGTGAATGGTTCAGCGATACACTGTGAGTGTGAAAGATGAGGACGGTAGGAATACCTTGGGGAGGAGTAGTGGTGGTGACACCGATTGCGGAACGGGTACACCACAAGCCACACACTCTCTTCTTGACTAGACCTCTGACCACTATCCTTGTTGAGCGACCTGTGACTGCCCACGTAGGATACGTGAGGCGGGGGTAACCGACGACCATTCATGGTGTAAATCTGTGATCACAGTGCCATAATGAGTGTGGCTGGCGTGCATATGCATGCGTTTATGAATTGTACTTATGGATGTAAAATGCTGCTTGTGATTGCGTTTGTTTAATATGTTGGAAATGTTCTGGTGGTGAGATTCTACGTTGATTGTGTGTTTTTAGGTAGTGTAGAGTACTCACCCTTACATTCATTTTTCAAGTAATCAAGACGATCAGCACTGGACTCAGTGAACGGATGGATGGATTACTATAGGACTTAGATTTTATTTTGAAATTGTTGTAATTGAACTAGTCCTGTAGCAGTTATTTGATATTAATTTGTAATCATTCGCTTATTTCAAAATCTTTTATGAAAAATTTGGTTATCCAATTTGTGAAATTATTATTTAATTGAAAGTAAATTTAAGGTGTTACATATAGTATTTTAAAAAAATGTGAACGGCAATTTTAAGTATTAGATAATTAGTTATGAATAAAAGTTGATGATTTTAAGCTGACAAAAGTATTAAATTTTTACTACTAAAAAATGTTATTGGCAACTTTTGACTGTCAGAAAAGCTTTTACTTTTCAATAGTCACCAATCTTTGACCAATGAAAATTATTAAAAAAAGTGTTGCTTAGTAATAAATTGTTATTGACAATTTTTAATTGGTGAGGCTATAAATATTCTAATGCCTATTGATAGGAAGTCGCTCCTTAAAGCTTTTCAAGAGTTTGTTAGTCCTATATTGTTGAATCTTATGTTTGTTAGAAGAAAAAAATGAGTGTAACAATTGTAGTTTATTTTAATATTGAGATTGTACTAAATACGAGTGTAGGTGTGACATGTACATATGAGAAGCCAACATGTCTAGATATTTCATATAATATATTATTTGGAGATTTAAAGTATTGACTTTGTCAATGTATGGAAGTCCTGTCTTAATATTTGGTGATTTCATGCAATATCATACAATTCTAATAATCAATGATGATTATGTTCAACAAATATTTTAGATATATAATACCCTCTTTTTATTTAATTATTATTTGGCGAGTTGCTTGATATTAGATGATGTTAGAATGTGTTTTAGATTGATTTAATGAGTGTTTAGTAGATGTCTGATGTAGGAAGTCTTGCTTAAGTGAGACAGGTTTTGCTCAAGCGAGCTGAGCATATAGAATCACATGATTTTAGAGCATTCTCACTCAAGCGAGATGAGTCTCGTGCAAGTGAGAACAAGATAAACTTGCACCAACTATCCTCTTGCCTTGGCAAGAAGTAATCTCGCTCAGGCGAGAACTCAAAGAAAAAATGGCTAACTCTCTGGACGTCTGCTTACTTAAGTGAGAATGAATCTTGCTCAAGCAAGAATAGCAAAAAAAGCTTGGGGGAACCACTGTCTGGTTTTCTCACCCAAGTGATAACGGTCTCGCTCAAGCGAGACTGTGTAAGATTTGATGGATATTTAAGATTTGATATGTGTGTTGAGTGTATATATGT